ACCTTTAAGACCAACAAAGTTTTATTCAAGGTATAAACTTTCATTGTGCACACACACTTCTTCAGATACATTGAAATAAAAGTGACAAGTCCATACATGTTTATTTCCTTCACTATGTTTTCCCCCAGAATTAAAACAAACCAAATGGTAACCATATAAACTAAGCTTGTTATTCCTGTTTAGTCCTTGAATCTTAAACAGTGTCATTATGTTGTATACTAATTTGCTGTTCACCCTCTGCCTATATGTATGGACTGGTAACTTCCATTTCAATGTATCTGAAGAAGTGTGCTTGTATATACCTTGAATAAAACTTTGTTGGTCTTAAAGGTGCCACTGAATTCAAATTTTGTTCTGCTGCTTCAGACCAACACAGCTACTCACCTGATTCTATAATTTACATCATAACATGATTTCTGACATTGGCAAATTTTGAACAGATATGACATGTTCTTAACAAAACATATTTAAAAAATACTAAACAAATGGAGGATTCAGACCAAAGAAATACATTCCAATCCAACCCTAACCCAAATTACATCACATTCTACTATTCATTACATTACAACCTACTATTCTAGTCCACTATTCCAAATAAGAAATATTTTTAAAGGAGGCTGTATAGCCCTTCTGGGGGATTGGTAAGAATACATATGTAAGGACTGAATGACAGTATATGTAGTGAGATAAGGAACCAATATCCCTATTAAGTCCTGGGGGTTCCATTGTTCTGAGTGTTGTAATAACTTGTAACTCAGCAGTTTCCCTTTCTAATCTGTTTCTGAAGTTCCTTTGCAATAAAACAGCTACTATGTGGTCACTCACTGAATGTCCTGGAAGGCTGGTGTTCTCCTACAGGTTTTTCAGTCTTGTTATTCTTGATGTCAGATTTGTGTCTTATATAGTTATGCCATTGAATGCCAACAATGCCCTTCGGTTCTCTACATAAGGCAAACAGGTCAAACTTTACGTCAAAGGATAAATGGACACAAATCTAACATCAAGAATCACAAGGCTGAGAAACCTGTAGGAGAACACAGATGGAGCTGATAGCAGGGTCTCAGTTAATTACTGTCAGCATTCTACAGTTAAGAAGGGTACATCTGCCCATCAGTCTCCAGTTTTGATATACGTTTCCCCCCAGAATTAAACCCAAACAAATGGTGACCATATAAACTAACCTTGTTATTCCAGTTTGGTCTTTGCATCTAACACATTTATTATGTGGTATGCTAATTTGCTGCTCACCCTCTACCTATATATATGGATTGGTAACTTCCATTTCAATGTATATGAAAAAGTGTGCATGCACACAAAAGCTTATACCTTGAATAAAACTTTTCTGGTCTTAAAGGTGCCACTGGACTCAGACTTGGTTGAACAAATGGTAAGTACCTGTGCTTTGAAGAAAAAACCTGAATTCCAGAGTCTGCTGCTCTTATTACTATATTGGCTTTATTATTGATCAAATGTTCAAGACAAATTATTTCTGATGATATATATCTTATATTTCTACATATGATAGTGGTTGCTTGCTGTCTATGTCTTTTAGCATTCTGGCCTGATTAAGAGTTCTGGTAAACTCAAAAGCATGCACACGGTTAGGTGTCATTGGTTTAGCCTTAACAGAAGTCCCTACACAGAATGTGTTCTTGGTCTTTTGGTACAGCCCTGTTGTACTGGGGGAGGGGAAGAGGACCGGGAGAAGCAGTGCTGAAGATGTGGCTACCTGGGAGGAATCCTCCTCCCCCACCCAGCTCCAGTGCTGATTCTCCCTGCATTCTGGCCAGTTAGAAGCCAGCAGGAAAGTTTTAAGAGGACAGCTGAGCTGGTGGCTACAGAGGCAGGGGTGAGAAAGAACTTCCTTACCCACTGGATCAGCTGCCCCTTTGAAACTTTCCTGCCAGCTTCTAACCAGCCAGACTGCAGGGAGATGCAGCACTGGAGGTGTGTGTTTTAATTTACTAAAACAAACAAATAAAATACAATACACTATTATAGGAGGTATAGATTTAACAATCGTGCAAAAAGGAACCTATATTTGGAGGGGATCTCTCCACCTTTATGACATTTCATGCCCTCCAAAGAAGAAATAAGAGGCATCTACTTCTCCAAAACATGAGATAACTTAGAATCTGAATCTGTAGGGTTAACCATTAAAAAGAGCTTCTCCATAACCATAAGGTCTCAAGTTTTAACTTTCCACAATGTTAAAGATTTATCCTTCTTGTGTTGCAATACACAAACATGCCGTCACCAATAAAGCTGAAATGAGCTTAAGTTTTGGTGTATCGATATCCTTATGAGAAAGTAAATCCAGTAATAGCCATTTGGAATCTAACTTTACATTACAGATCTTTTGAATCACCATAAGTACTTTGCTCCAAAACCCTTTAATGGCTGGACATTGCCACCAACAATGATTGAAAAATCCCACCTGGTTACATTTTTTCCAACAGACATTTGGAATCTTTCTACAGGTCAGGACTCCCCCCCCCCCAGCTTCTAATCAGTCAGCCTGCAGGGAAGCAGAGCTGGAGGTAGGGGAGAATGAACCCCCCCCCCCTGCATCCAGCATTGCTTCTGCCTGAAGTTTGACTGTTAGAAGCTGGGGAAAATTTTAAAAGGACAGTTGCTGAAGCTCCTATGGTGGGGACAAAAGGGGGGGATGGAGGAAGGGGGGAGTGATTGCTTAAGAAGGGATGGTGTGGGAAAAGGGGGGAAGCTGAGAAGGGGTGGGGGAATAGAGGGGGAAGATTGTTTGAGGAAGGGAGAAAGGGGGGTGAGAGATGATTGCCAGATAAGGGGTGGTGGCAGAAAGAGGGGGAAGATGGACATTGAAGAGGCAAGGGTAGAAGGGGGGGTGAGGGAAGATTGATAGATAAAGGGTGGGGTCAGAGAGAGGGGGAACATGAATAGAGAAGGGTGGGAGAGAGAAAGATGCAAAGGCAGGGGAGATGCCCCCTCAGCACAAGTGAAGCCAATGTAGTATATGGGCCAGAGTTTCAAATTTTGGGACTCTTGACTATGCAGCTGAATGTCCAGACTTCCTATGGATTATTTTCTCTTAACCTGGCTTACTTCATTGGGCGTTCTGAAAGGATAATGCCATTCTTAGCTCCTTGCACATACTACTTTTCTATCAAATAGTATCAGACATATTTGTCTTTGGGGCTGAGAAAAAAGTAGAAACAACAGTGATGTGTGGGGAGGGGAACCATCCCATCAGCATGTGCTGCTTCATATACTCACAACTTAAGCATCAAAACAAAACAACCAAGAATGACTTTGGGTTGGATCCCAAAGCAAGGAAACTGTCATTTCCATGACATCCTCAGATTTCCATCTCAAGCTGCAGTTTGATGCACTGCACCTCATGATATTTGAAAGACTCCCTTAAACCTCAGCCTTTAGGGTATTAGATTAAGTGGCATTTGAAAAGGTGCAGGTTGGAAGGGAAAGATCTCCCCCACCATGGGCCCAATCCTCCCAGCATTTTAAAATGTCATTTGGGCAACAGAGAACTCAAAACAGCCACAAGTTCTCTATCACATTTAGTTTGTCTCTGAGAAACTATAGGAAACGGGACTGAGAAGATGCATTCTGCAAGTGGAGCTCTACTCATGGTTCTTGGATCCATTTCTCTGCCTTCCAATGAAGAGCAGAGCCATTGGTGGGAGTTCCAGGGATGGGATGCACCTGGACTTGCAATGGCAATGGAAACAAACACAACACAACTGGTTGCTACATTGTCCAGGCCAGGAAACACCCAGAACAGGCAGCATGGAGCTCCAGAATCTAGGTACAATAATAAGTGTTTGGCAGCCAAGTAGGGCCAGTCACATCATCAAGTTCTGCATAGGTAAGGGAGCAACCTGAGAGGCAGCTAAGATAGTGTTTCAGGGCACTTCTGGTTGGGTGAAGGTATAGAGGGACGGAGCAAGCCAGGGGAGGAAACTGGAAGGGTAGCCTATTTAAGGAGAATCTGCAGCAGGTCAGGGAGGATGAAGTATCCATGCTCAGGTAATGTGGAAGAGCAGAGGGCACAGAAAGGCAGAGGAATTAGGTGGTGCAGCCCCCAACCCCACTCCAATCAGAGACCTTGCAGGTCTTCCCCTGCAAGGAAAGTCATGGTGGAGCAAGAGCAATGTGGCCTTGATGGGGGGGGGGGAGTGTCACACTGGGGAAGGAGGAATGTCAAAAGAAAAACTGGGGTACATGTGCATCACTCAACTCCAAGGGGTGATGGGTTGATTGGGGGTATTTGTGTAATTGAAAAATGTGTATTCTTCATCTTTGCTTCAGGTGGCTAACAATAGTTAACACATGAGAACAAATGAATAAAACTAGAACATCAATGTCAAAGAACAAGCTTCCTATGAATATTTTGTTTTACAAGTTTTGATCTGCTGAGCTTGAAATAAGGTGCCAAATATTTATATACCCAATTGAGACAGTAGAAACTAAGACGGCTAAATGATTTTCACCAGTTTACCACTCTGCCTGCAGGTTCCCACTTAGCCATTCACATTCTGTTTGTGAGTCCCCCAGCCCACAGGAGCAGAATTTTTGGACTGTAGTTAAAGCTGTAAAATTCTCTACTCACAATTTTTGAATATAGCACATTGCAAACTAGGGGGGCAGAAAATCAGCTCCGATGGAACAGGTTTACTAATATTTATTTACTTTATTTATAATCCACCTATAAACTCAAGTCAAATATAAGGGTATCCACCTTAGGGTTGCCAACTCCAGGTTGGGAAATACCTGTAGATTTTTTGGGGGGAGCCTATGAAGGTGGGTTTTGGGTAGGAGAGGGACCTCAGCAGGGTATGCTGCCATAGAGTCCATCTATTTTCTCCAGGATAACTGACCTCTGTCAGTGGGAGATCAGTTGTAAACCTGGGAAGTCCCTTCTGGAAGTTGGCAACCATACTTAACAATGCATGTAGCACTGGATCCTCTTATATTCTACATGCTTCCAATGGGCTTACTAGAAATTACTTACCAAAGCTTATTGAAGCCAAGAGGTAGAAACCTAAAGTGGAAAATAAAATAAATGGGTTGTTTGTGAGATTGGGGAGGGGAGGAAATCAAAGGTACATATCTAATTAAAAGTTTCCTAAACATCGTCAAGGTTAAAAATTAGAAATCCGATTAATTGGTTTATAGTATTTTGAGAAATTTAATATTGACATCAGTATCTGTCCTTAAGCAATACAAATAAATGACTTCTTTTTCAGATATCTTCAAAACTCTCTCTCTGAAACTTTTTTAAATATTGAAAAATATTTATTTGTACATGGGACACCCACATATGCATTATGACAGCTCTCTTATCAATCAACTGATCAGTGCCCTCTCAATGTTGCATTAAGCTATGATGTTGTGTTTGCTAAGTCAGTGGTGACCAGCCTCTTCAGCAAGTATGAAATAAGTTTATTTGATGCAGACTGTGCAGTTATATAATATATGTAGCCTCCCAACCCTGTACCTTGCTGCAATTTGACGTCTAGAGTACTGATCCTCAAATATGAGCAACTTGGGAGGCCTCCTTTTGCCTTAAAAATGTTAATAAACCCTCAGACCCTCCACATCAATCCACCATGTGGCTAGCCAGCTTCCTCTTAAATAGTATGTCTCACACATGCCTTACAAAAACATTGCCACCTACACTGTTAAAAACAAATTTAAGTAAATGTTTTTAATTAGCTACACAGAGCCTATAAGAGAGTCTCAGAGGGCAGCTGATTCCACAGGGCCTGAATACACAAGGCTCTCTGACCCAAGTTCTGCTTCACTTGGCTATGGACGTAAAGTGGTCTCTGTTTCTCATATATAGTGAAATCCTTTACACTGGAAAACAGTGAAAACCTATTCAGTTTTATACCTGAATCTTTAAGTATCCCTCATCCAATCTATCCATTGTTAAAGGCAGCCTAACATCCAATCCACAGAGGATGAGCCATCAAGAGGAAATTTAAACCTATCATTCAAGCCCAGTTCTTTGAAAAATATACTAAAATGATCCAACAATCCCCCTGTCTTGGAATGGCAGGTATTTCCCTACTAAAGTGGGTTTCAGTGAGGATCCCTTCCCATAAAAAACCACCCCAACTGTGGAAAGTGTGCCAGGTTCTTCCACTATCTGGATACCCCTGCAACCACTTCACAGGCTCCTCTTTTCCTCCTCAATACTCTGCAACCTTGGACCTTCGCTGCATCTACTCCTTGACTTCTCTAGACCTTAAATCCTCAAATTAAGGCTGTATGTCCCTTCCCTAAAACTTTCCAATTTCCTCCCATCTCACTTTTATGAAGTGCACCCTCTTTTTTGTGTGTGTGTGATTGCTTAGGGAATCAATTCTCAGGTGTTTAGTGCTTTACATTTTTATTCTTTTTATTTTATTTTGTATACAATAAAATTATGTATTTGTGATTACAATCTCTCTCTCTCTCTCTCTCTCTCTCTCTCTCTCTCTCTCTCTCTCTCTCTCCCTCCCTCCCTCCCCAAAATTTAATTTTGAGGTACCCCTACTGAGATCTACCCTGGTATACATGGGCTACAAGGTCTCATGTTTTTCCTTTCTGCAACCTTTTAAAAAGTGAATTTCCCCTTCACTGGGTCCAGTTTAAGTCTGTCCCATTCCTGGAGAGTGCCTGTTCACAATCCTAGAAAACTGAGATCTATTTTTGCATTAGCTCAATAAGCAGGAGAAGGCCTACCTCCCTGTTTTTGCAATGGACTCATGGACCCCTGAAATAATCTTATTTATATTTATTTATTTATTTAGGTATTTTTACCTCGCCCTCCCCGCAAGCGGGCTCAGGGCGGCTTACAGGGGCCATCGCTACATCTTGCTGACCCTCTGGCAACCCTAGATTCCAGTATTAGAAATGTTGTGCTATGAACGGGGCAGTAGTGCAGTGCAAAAAAACCAACCAAGATTCAGGCTTATTTCTATATTACAACCATGTCTTCTTGTTTCTGTTCAGACATGCTGCCTGTAACACCCCCAAGTGAATGTAACACCCAAGCCACAGGCTAGTCAGCCACATGCTAAGTGGAAAAAGGGGATTAAATTCACTTGCTCTTTCTTGTACTCCCAGAAGCTTCCTGTCATCAGTATGAAGCCATCCATTAAATGGAAATTCTTCATCTTCTCCAGAGACTACTCTTTGCCATTTGCTCACCTGGTTTACAAACTGGCACAGGAGGATCCCATGTGAAATCATGTTGACACTGAATATACGGGCTACCTTCCAAGACATATCCATCCTCACATTGAACAGTCACATTATCTCCAGACTGAAGCATGTTTTCTACATTTGCCTTTTTGCCCCCAGGAATCTGTGGAAGGATGCAGCCAATTGCTGAAAATCAAAATTGATGAAGGAGTTATCTATATAAGGGTCATGGTGAAAATTATGAACATAAGTAAAGCCTGCTGGATTTTGAGGGCAAAATAAAGTAGACAGAGGCTGAGGCCTTCACCTGATGCTGCCCTCCTAGCACAGATGTTGGGAGGCTTTCTGCCTCTGTACATGGAGATTCCCCTTAGATATCCTGGCTAGTAACCACTGATGGACCTCTCCTCATGGATCTGTCTAACTCCTTTTAAAGCTATCTATATTTTTGGCCATCGCTACATCCACTGGCATTGAATTCCACAGTTTAATTATTAATTAGTCAAGAAATATATAGAGAGAATGAGATAAAGTTGTTTCTTTTAATAGCAATAATTCATAATATTGTTACTATAGTACAGTAATGAATTAAATGAAGAGCTTTTAAAAAGAGGCTGGTACTAATGTATAAGGTTCCACTGATTCCCACCAATTTTCCCCTCAGGATTTGGAACACTGTCCCCATGTGCAAGTTCTCAGTACCAGTGAGTACTACTACAAAAAAAAGGCATGATTGCGAGTGATCACAAAAGTGAACAGATGAATTGTGCTTTTAGTGTAAGAACAAACTGAGGAAAAACTGGACAAATTACATTTTAATTTTTTTGGTTTATGCCTTGGTTCACTTGATGAAACTATCCAAATCTGTCTTCTCCAAAAGAAGGGACCTGTGGTGATTTATCATTTTAGCTTTTGGGTCAATTTCCAGTTTATATGGATGGGAGAAAAAAGACACAGAATTTTTTTAAAGCCAGGAACCTAGCCAATTAAAGTACCAGGATAACATACCCTACCCTCTCTCTTCCACTCATCTTTCTCTATGAATTTGCCTTGTGATGCTCAAATATTATCCGTGAAAACTTTTTACATGCTGCCATCAGTGATCCCAAACATCCTATCTGGGTTCTTCAGCTGTAGCATATGCAAAGATTTTTAATGCATTTCTTTGGTATTTTTCTACTTAAAGATGGCAGTTGACTAATCTTGGAGGAAGGCAGATTGACACGCTTTTATCATTGTTAAAGAGGTCGTCACTGGTAAGAAGCTCACCTTTGCACCGAGGGGCAGGGAAATTCTATGTGCCAGATTTAGTGCAATAAATCATTGCCTCACCAATCATTGTGTACCCATGTTCACATGTATATTTCACATAACATTACATCACTAAACACTGCTGATTCCTGGTTGCTATGAAACCCATTTTGAACTTGTGGGGGTCTATGGCATTGCATCGCTAAACAGGAAAAATTATATTTGAAATGACCAAAATAAGCTTGACCTTCATAGCCCCACATTGTTACATTTTATCACATGTATTCTATTCCAGCTTTGGATGTATGCAGTCAGTGCTCCTGATCTTTTAAGCTCCATATATGTATTTCCAGATTCAGACCATACATTCAGCATATGGAGTTTGGGGCACAGTGTGCAATTACAAGGATTATATCCTTAAAGGAAGTGTAATTACAAAAGTAATGGGGTGTAATTTGAGGAGGAGAAACCCTAACTCTTCTTTCCTCATTTGAACATGGAAGGCTGGATGCCTTTCAGTTCAGACCCTAGAACAGTCTCAGTCCTAGTCAAATCTATATAGCAGCCATTCTCATCAAGAGTGGGGCGAAATCTAACACAGAGGTACATACCCCTGACACATAGAGGCACAGGAAGATCCCACGTGCTGTCAGATTGGCATTCAATTGTATTGTTTCCTTTCAGAATGTAACCAGGAGTACATTCAAATGTGGTTGTCTCCCTGGGTTTAAAGAGCAATTTAGATGTTGTTTTTCTTCCATTATGAATTTCTGGACGAATACAGCCCTTGACTGTAAATGAAAACATAAAACCAATATTAGATTCCATAATGTCTGAGAGATAGACAAGGGAATGTGGTGCAGCAGAACCATTTTCGTAATAGAAAATCTTGATCTAAAGTTTAAAATTACACCTTTCCTCAATATGATCTAAAACCCCTTTAGTGATAATTATCTATAATTATAATTATCTTGGGTGGAATTTTCTGCTAGTTAAGTTATTACTGCCTATGCTGATATAACTTCAACAGGATTCTGTTGTTGTTCACTTGCTTGCTTTCTGGCATCTACATCAAGGGACAGTAGAAATCATATTTCTTGGAGTTATTGCATCTTTTTCAAAAAAGTTTGTGAGTGACAAGTAACAAAATGAAAGCTCAATCAGTGGAGCCAGTCACAAAATGGCACCAGTCACAAAATGGCATCTTATGCAAAATTACAGCATTTCATAGCAGATCAGCAGAGCTCAGCTGGGGACACTTTTCCACTGCTGCTTTACCAAAGTAAACCATCACAACTTGTAACTTGCACAGTATGGGGAAAATATAGTTACCTCTATACTTTCCTGGGAGAGGCAAATGACACCTTTGATGCAGGGGGAGTGAATAGCATGCCCCTTCCTCATCCAAAGCAAGAATGGTTGACACATGGATGAAAGATGAAGAGGAGAGCAGGCCTTGTCATTTCCTTCTCATTCAACCCATATTCTATGTGAATGGCTCTCAACCAGTAGTATGTGTCCTAGCAGCCGTGGGACTCAGAAGTAGCCCAAGTGAAAGGTAGGATTTTCATTAAAATTATTAAGAATTCACACTGCCTCAATCCCCACATGGACCTGGAAGTGTGACATGCTCTCTCCTGCCAACCCTATCTGCTACTAATTATCCAAATGTGACCTTTTAGTATGCTATTAGTAATAGCAGAATGCTTGTAAACATAACAAATCTTTTTCAGAAAAAGCATACTTTTTGTTTCTATCTTTTTGTTTTGTTGGGTGCCAGAGTCTTTCGGAGAATTACCCCAGGGAACATGAGTTGCAAAATGTTGAGAAGCACTCTTCTCTGTAATGAGGCTTCCAAAAGGCCCTCTAAGTAGTTAAGTGCCCATTAATTATTGCTGGAGTCTTTGGATGGAGAAATGTAGAAGAATGTATGTTTCCTGGTCAGCCCCTGCTGTAGTTGTTAGAATGGAATAGAATGGAATACTCAACAAGAGCCAACAGTTAAAAACAGCTGAAGCCTGGAATTATGAAAGCTTATACCTTGAATAAAACTTTGTTGGTCTTCAAGATGTCAATGGACTTGAACTGTGTTCTGCTGCTTCAGACCAACCTGGCTCGTCAGCCACCCACCTAAATCTATTGTGTTTTATTGTAAGCTCCGACTTACACCATTTTCAAAATTATTTGACTCAAATAAAGGATGAAGGGCATTATAGAAACAAAATTCAGCATTACTTGACCTTTACACTGAGGGACAGATGGGTCCCACACTCCAGAAGACAGGCAATATACTGTTGCTGCACCGGTGAGAAAGTAGCCTGGGTCACAATGGTAAGTCACAAAGGATCCAAAGGCAAAATCTTCCAGAACTTCAGTATCAAGTCTCCCGTTGGCAATCTCTTGAGGTGCAAGGCATCCTATAGAGAAAACATTTCAATGAAATGATCAGGGCTTTTTTTGTAGAAAAAGCCCAGCAGGAACTCATTAGCATAATAGGCCACACCCAACAGCAGAATCTCATTACGATTAGGCCACACCCCCATGTCTTCCCTTGGGGAGTTTAAACTGCCTTCCCTTGGCTTGCCCAGGCACCCCGCGGCTGTGGGGAGCCTGGGCAAGCCAGCCCTCGGACAGGCCAGGGAAGGCATGGGGAGGCATTTAAATGCCTCCCTGATCCTTCCATGGTCCCCCATGGCCCCTTGGAGTCGCTGGGGGGTTTGCTCTCCAGGCCTTCCCTCTGTAGCCATGCACGCAGAGGTTTTGGCTGTAGTGGGCGTGGCCAACTCTGAAGCCAGCCGGAACTCCCAAAAATAGTCCTGGAAATGATTAATCCAAAATATAGATTACAGCCAGACCCTGAACCTCTTTCATGGAAGTAAGTCCTATTAAGTTCAGAAGACATCATGCTGTGTACCCCCAGATGCGTAGCTATGGTGGGGCATTTTGGGGGCACGGCCACTCATTAGCCATGCCCCACTGCCACCAGCTACTCTTGCACCTTGCAGACCCCACCGCCTGCCTTGCCCATCCTCCACTCCATGCCGGGAATGGCCACTTGCAGGGCCGGGTGCTCTGTCCAAAGGGCAGCTGGTGGGCCAGAGGCAGGGAGGGAGGAGAGGCACTTCCCTGCTAGCCGACCACCCACACCCGTTCCCCTGTGGCCTCAGCCCCAGATGGTGGTGAGGGGTCAAGGCAGCCCACTGCCACTCCCCTGCCCCAGCAACCTGGCCCCACCACCCAGAAATTCCTTGTTACGCCCCTGCATACCCCTGCACCAAAGAGAACCATGAAGATAAGGGGATATGAAATATGAACAATATGATGATGTTACAAAATAACATTTTTTTAGAGACTGAAATTTTCAGCACGAAACCCTTCACCTGTAATGCTTAATATTATCAACTAATCTGAATTTTTAATAAAGTGTATACATTGTTTTTTAGAGATGGGCAAGTTAAGGGCCCAATTCAGACACGACACAAAACCTTGATGTATTATAATGATTAGTTTCAAAACCAGCAGACCCAGCTGAGCTCTGAGCAGGAGCAGGAGACAGAGCTGCTAGAGGGATGTGTCTTTTTTTTTTACTTGCTTTCAGCTGAGGGGATTCAGCTGAAGATATTGTGTGGGAAGACTCTGTTTGGGAGTGTGTGAAAGCAATTAGAGTTGTTGCAGAGTCCTGGATGCTTGAGAGAGAGAGAGGAAGGGGCACTGTTTGACTGTAATTCAGTATTTAAGAAAGCACCTTGCCAGAGGCATGAGACTCTGGCACAAGCCGAAGGTCAAGCTAAGGGGCTCTTTGCCTGTGGCTCTTAGCCTAGGGGCTCTGTAAGAAGTCCAAGAAGAGCCAGAAAGTCAAGGCCCTAGGCTCCTTGTCTTCCCCGTAAGGTAAGTTGACTTCGACAAGAAAAAACACATAAATAAAAAGGGTTTTAAAAGGGGGATTATATTTATTTATTTTAAAAGAATTATGAAGCCAGAATGCCAGCAGGGGGTTGGGGGCTATCCAGTGTTTTGCACGGAGTGCCCCGGACAGAACTCTTGGGTGTGTGCTCGGTGCAAAGAGTTCCTGGTTCTCAGGGAATGTGTTTGCTCAATTGAGGCCAAGGTGGCTGACCTGGAGAAGCAGAGACAGTCAGGCGCACAGAAAAGACTCTTGGGGACTCATTAGATATGTCCCACTC